TACCTTAAAGTTTACTATACAGTGGGCATAGAGTAAGACTGTGGGCATTTTCTGTGAGTTGACTGAAAGAGAAAATGGTGTCAAGAACACACAATGGGGAAAGAATAGTCTCTTCAAAAAATGGTGTTAAGAAAACTGGATATTCACATGCAGAAGAATGAAATTGGACCCCTATCACATACCATATATAAAAACCAACTCAAAATGAATCAATGACTTAAATGTAAGGCCTGAAACTGTAAAACTACTAGAAGAAAACATAGGGGAGAAACAACATGACATTGGTATGGACGATGATTTCTTGGATAAGTCCCCAAAAGCATAGGCAACAAAAGAAAAATTAGACAAATGTCAAAAAAGAAAAAAAGCTTTCACATGTGACTAAAACAATTAACAGAGTGAAGAGACAGACCATGAAATGGAAGAAATATTTGCAAACCATACATCTGATAAGAAGCAAATATCCAAAATACATAAGAAACTCAACTCAATAGAAAGAAAACAAATAACCTGATTTTAAAAATGGGCAAAAGACCTGAACAGATATTTCCCAAAAGAAAATATATGAATGGCCAACAGATATATGAAAAAAATGCTAAATATCTCTAATCATCATGGAAATGCAAATTAAAACCAAAATGAGGTATCACCTCATATCTGTTGGAATGGCTATTATAAAAAAAAAAATTACTAAAGATAACAAATGTTGGCAAGGATGTGGAGATAAAGGAACCCTGGTATACTGTTGATGGGAATGTAAGTTAATACAGTATTATGGGGATTCCTCAAAAAACTAATAATAGAATTACCATATTATCTTGCAATCTCACTTCTACATATATGTCCAAAGGAATTGAAATAGGTATGTTGAAGAGATATCCACACCCCCATGTTTATTTCAGTATTATTCAAAATAACTAAGATATGGAAGCTATCTAAGTGTCCATCAAATTCCAAAAATGAGTAAATTAATAAGGAAAATTTGGTAAATATACAATGGAATACCATACAACCTTAAAAAAGGAGGAAATTCTGTCATTTGTGACAACATGGATGAACCTGGATGACATTATGTTAAAATAAGCCAGGCTCAGAAGACAAATACTGCATGTGTATTCACCCATATGTGGAACCAGAAAAATTTGATTTCATAGAGACAGAGAATATAATGGTGGTTACCTGTGGCTAGGGGAATAATGAATGGGAAAATATTGGTCAAATGGTATCAATTTTCAATTAGACAGGAGAAATAACTTTATGATCTATTATCAGCACAATGGCCATAGTTAATAATAATGCAATGTATATTTCAAAGTTGCTAAAAGAATAGATTTTTACCACAAAAAA